AAGAGAGAGAGAGAGAGAGAGAGAGAGAGAGAGGTTTGCTTTATGGGAAATATGAGAGAGTATGTTGGGTAGTTGGGGGGCAGGGGTGACAGAGAACTATCTCCGCTTGCCTGCAAGGTCTTCCACGAGATTGGCCAAGGCAGTATAAGACGAACCCCCAGGCGCCACCGCCTCCCTCGCGGCCTCCGCCACCTCTGCCGCCCTCCGCCGCGCCTTCCTCCCTCTCTCCCCCCTCATCAACTCCGCCACTTTCCCACTTATAACCTCACCTTCTACCAAATTCCCGCCCTCGCCCTCGCCCTCCTCCAAAACCCTTATTCCCACCCCTAATACTTCTTCAACTACCTTAGCATTCAACTGTTGCTCAGCAATCATACCCCACCCTAATATTGGCACCCCATGCACCAGGCTCTCCAGAACAGAGTTCCATCCACAATGGCTCATGAACCCTCCGATTGCCACGTGGCACAAAACAGCAACCTGTGGGACCCACACTCTGGCAATCAACCCATTTTCTCTCTCCTCAAACTCCTCCCCCTCTTCTCCCCTCACTACCCAAAGATACTTCGCACCTGATCTCTCTAGCCCTAACGCTATTTCCCTCATCTGACCCCTCGATACAGCCACTTGTGTACCGAAACTTACGTACACAACCGACCCTACCTCCTGCCTGCCGAGCCAGTCGATGCATGGGTTCGAGTCCAGTGCGTCCTGTGGGCTCCGGCTGTAGAGGCAGAGCGGGCCCACGCACCAGGCCCTCGAGCCCTTTTTGTAGAACCCTTCAAAACAGTCGACCCACGCGGGCTCGAGCTCGTAGAAAGTGTTTACCAGCACGCCGTCGCTCTCTATGTCGGCAAGACCGACTTCGCACAAGAGCTGGAAGGACGGATCGTTTGGATCAAGATCCTTGACCGGTGAGCTCAGCTCGGCTCGAGTGATCACGACTGGGCTAGGCATGCCGGGAACCCTGAAGGGCTCAGTCTCTGTGAGGCCTTTCTGGGGGTAGTGTACACAGACCGACTTGCAAATCGACATGGAGTAGGCGCCCATGCCGTGGAAGACGAGTCTCGGGATCCCGAGTCTCTTAGCCGAGTCCAGGGTCCACCCATGAAAGAAATCGGAGACGATGCAGATGGGTGGGTCGATGACCGTCAATTCTTCAAGGATTTGATCGAACTGTGGGCGCAGCTTCTGGGTGGCCTTCAAGAAGGGGACAAAGAGGTCCACTGAGGGGAGCTGATCGGTGTTTTCGCAGTTTCTTGGTACGGCGGGTTCTTCCGGAAAAGGAAGCTCGATGAGTCGAATTTTAGGATTTTGGCAGTCTAGGGTTCTTCTCATGGAGATGGCGTTGAGTGGGGTGGTTATAATGGTGGAGCGGTGCCCCATGGATGAGAGGGCGTTGCAGAGGTAGAGGAGAGGGATGGTATGGCCTTGTGCCATGAAAGGGAAGACCACTATGTGGTGAGAAGAAGTTAGTGGTGCTTCTTCAGGCATCTCTCTTTCCCTGTTTGAATCTCACTCCTCTCTCCTTACTCTTAGCACTCTCTGTTCTTCTGTTTTGGAAGTCTCTCTCCTCTATCTCTCTCTCTAAATGGGTCTCTTCTTTCTCAGACAGTGTCTAATGCCACCCTTTCTTCCTCACAAAGATTCTTACTCTCTCTCTCTCTACAGTTGTTGCCGGCCGGAGAGTGACGAGTGGGGGGTTTATAAAGAGGGACGGGGGACTGTCCTTTGGAAGCTACTGTTATGGAGATTGAGTCGTAATGGACGGCTGCGATTTATTCAGCTGCATATGGAATTGAATGCTCCGTCTGAATGGGGTCTAATTTTCACTGATGTTTGGAAAATTATCATATGACGTGGCTGAGAAATTTATTGTAATTAACGCCAAGCTTTTTGAAAATGGATTCGTTTACTATACTCCCGCGGGAGCATATCATGCGCGTATTTTCGCATTTTAGGGAGCAGTTTGGGAGCTTTTCACCGACCTATATTTTACGTTCCACCCAAGAATATCCCCGTATGATTATTTTCATGAAAGGAATTTGAGATTTTAGTGTTTAAAAGCGTATCGGCACGGAATTGGTCATTCCATGTCGATTTTTTTGTAAAATAATGATCGATTTTATTGTAAAATCGGGTGAATCGCTTAATGACGTCATGACTTACCGCGCATGACTTCTTGAGTCACAAGGGGTATTTTGGTATATTTTTTAGTTACTATGGGCATCCATGGTAAAAAATACGTGCTCCATCACAAACCCACACTGTTATCACCCGCGACTAGCTTTGATAGCAGAAGACTATTTATCCTTACCAAATTTGTTCTGTGGGTTTGATGTGAGACAATTGCGTCAAGGTGATAGCTCAAAAAGATATATGATATAAGTATTGAGCGACATCTTTGTATCACAACTTAACATTTGACATGGTGGTTAGAGCATTGTTTTAGTGCGTTGGATGATACGGAATCAATTTCTGCCCAGGTGCCATCAATTCATTCACAAACAAATAATTTTTTCTTTTTTACAAAATAACTTTTTTTGTAAGGTATTGTTATAAGAAATAAAAGGTTTTCGTCAAAATAAAAAGATCAAAGGTAATACAACAAATATTTATTGTAAAAAAATAAGAGGTTGGAATTGTTATTATTTGTATAATAAAATAATTACAAAATATAAACCAACAAGTTCAATTTCAATAATGTTTTCCACCACTTCGTGATTTTGGTGGCCATTTTTTATCGATTAAAATCATTCTTTATTATAGTCCATCTATGATTATATATTTCATCCATGATAATTCTATGATTTTTCTTTTGTGTGATGTAAATTTAATAGTCAAAATAAGTTCATACAGAGAAAAAGCATCTCAAGATTCACATATTGATAAAAAAATGAAAATTAATAATGTAGTGCCCCGATTTCTTATTAGATTCCTAAAAGACAACATTGCTAATGAATTTTAATACTTTTTTTAGATTTTTTTAAAGATTAATCCAACGATTCGGCCGATTCTCGATCTGGATCGTCGATTCGTAGATCCGGATGGGTTTTTGGGGTGCCCGATCAAGGCCACCGATTCGTTTTTTAAATCATCGGATTAAACAAATTATATCTCCAAAATTTGGAGCCATTGAGTTATGGAGCCAGTTTCTATACGGCTCGGCCAAGCCCGCATATGTAGAGATGGGCTTATTAATAAATCTATTTTTGAGATGGATTTTTTGACTTAATTTTTAAGGACATGTAATCTCTAACATGGAGATCATCAATATAAAAAAATAAATAAATTTTAGAAACTAGAAGTAATAATTCTAGTAAGAAAACATTTAGACCATTACTTTTCATTATTTTTAAATGGAACACCTACTTATATCTATCTTTAAAATGGATGCTTCACACTTTTTGGACCGCATATGTAATCATGCGGTGCAGGCATGAAACAATTTTCCTTGAGTTATTATATATATGCGAGAGTAGATCGAGATAACGTTCTCATGGGAGCACGAAATCTTTTGGGAGGGGAGCTACTAGGGGCCATAAGACAAGCTGAAAGTACGGTTAATATGAAAATTTTGAATAACCTTGCCTTTCGGTTTGATATTGCCAATATCCAAGCATTTTAGATTTTTTTTTGCCGTTGGTTGTGATAAGTTTTGTAGACAGAGTTGGATGTTTGAAATATCGGACATCTCTAAAAATGGGTCGTCCAATGTTGACGACCTTCAACCAATCTTAAACTTTACTATTCATCCGGTTCGATGTTTGTGACATCGAATTGGTGATGTCTAATCAAAATTACCGGTCTAATATTTCAGATATTGGACCGCTCAGTTAGTTCCAGGAAGGGAACATCTGCACGATGATATGAACATCAGATTGACTCAAAGGAGCCTCTAAGCTTTTGAGTAGTGCCCCTAAATCCTTTCATAAATCATAATACAAACAAAAATCTGGTCTGATTTTGGCAATATTCAACTGAAAAGCCGGAAAAAAAATTTTTACAAAAATGGGGATCTTTATTTTCAAATTAGTTTTGGAGTAATGACCCTATGAGACCCTCTTCTACCTAAGTGTATGACATCCCAACTCATGACCGTAGCATCCACATCTCAAGAAAATGGGATGGCAGTAGTCACCCGGTTAACCCACATAGAGAAGCTTTCTCTTGGAAAAAGCGCGTACCCTTTTAAAACTTTTTCCCTTCTAAAGCTCCTCTACTTGCTATCCCTGGCTTTGGTTTGCCGTCTAGGTCTTCTCAAATCTCTCACTCTCCTATCTATCGACAGAGATTTGGTTTTCTGAAAACCCACCAAAACAAAAGCTTATCAGTTTTAGAGAGAGAAACCCCCGACAAAGACAACACCGACGGTGTTCCATAGCCCAAAATCTTGACGATGAGCAAGAAAATGGGGCACCCCTTTTAAAACCAACAGAAAATTCCCAAAACATCAATGAAGCTTCATTTTCAGGTGCCATTTTCAATCTCTCAACAAGTGCAATTAGTATTGGAATCGTGTTCATTCCTGCAATTCTGAAAGTCTAGGGTGTGAGTCCTACAATTTTCTTGACGATTTTAGTTACGATTTGAGGAGGCTTTCAGAGCAATTTATGCTGAAATTTATGAGTGCAGTATTTCTACAACTTGTGATGGATTAATGGGAAATCATTTGAAAAGATGGGACCAATTGTTTTACAAAATTGCGTGATAATCAATAATTTGGGAGCTGAGATGGCCTATACGATCATCATCGTAGGTATTTGGTTTTCATGAGATTGCTGGTCAAATATAGGGAGCCTCTCTCTCTAGCTAATACATCTCCCCATTCTCTTTCTAAGAGTGAGTCCTGAGAACTTGAGTTTCTTTTCAAACTTTTGACATCTTAATGGTTTTACAGTACCATTTAGATTTCAACTTTCAGCTCACTATTTGAGCCGCTCTTTTGATTTTTACATTTGGTCTCATGATGCTAGAAAAGCTGACACCATTTGGATCTCTCCCTCTCTCTCATCATCTGCCTACCATTTGTACAGCTCCGCTGCTTGTTTACATCTACTCCTCTCTAAAATCCATTCAGAATTTAGGCTCTTTCTCTCTCTAAAACCTAATCAGAATTTCTGCTACCCCTCTCGTGATACATCCTACGGCCATAAGTAAGGGTCTCATAGCAGTTGGGCTAGGGGATGGTCTCACAAAATCATTACTCTCAAATTTGGAGTACATGCTTAATTTTCTTTAAAAATTTAATTGACCGTTTTTAAAAGATGACCTCATGTCTCTTGCAAGATACACGTGGTCCCACCGGTTCAACTCCGTCTTCTCCGTTTATCATGTGTAAGCCGTAAGCAAGTGAGAAAGTCTACAGGACGTATTAGTATAACGCTGCAACCTCAAACACTTCAATAAAGGCCCACCTCCAAATTTTATCATTATATGTGATTTTGTTGTAAAATATCTTAAAAATTATCAAAAAGCTTATTTTTATTTTTAATTATAGAATTTTAAACTAAATCTAAAAAAGATTATATACAATGAGACTGTTTACCTTTGAAACAAAGTGGTCACAATTATTTACAATCATCCTATGTAAAATTTGATAGCTTGGATGTATTATAAAGTTCGAAAAAATTTCTTTTGAAGTTTGAGTTTTATCAATGGAATAAACGTAGCCACCCAATTACACATCCAATGGTCAAAATTAAATGTGATCACTTTGTATCAAAGGTAAATGGTCTCATTCTATAATTTTCCAATCTATAAACATATGAAAATATTAAAAATTGAACAGTCTAGATAATGCGTTGCAAGGTGCATCATTTTTTGGACTCAAAATATTTTTGTTTTCTCCTCTATTCAGACATCTCGATGTCACGATGATCCAACCTTATAATGCAGAACTACATATGCCCTTAAAAAATCCATCAAAAAAGGTAGTTTTAATGTTGAAAAACCTGTTCATTGATCATCTCGACATCGAGATGTATGACCATGAAAAATAAAAAGATTTTAAGTCTCACAAATAGTGCATTTTACAACATATCATCTACACCATCCATTTTCAAAATTTTCATATGTTTATAGATCTACTTGATTTTAACCGTGTTTTAAATTTAAAGTTTTATAATTAGATATAAAAATAGATTTTGAGATAATCTTAAAAACATTTTAAATGAAAATTATATACCATGATAAAATTTGAAGGTGCATCTTACCTCTACAGCTACGGATGCATCCGTATGCGAACTGCACTTCCTATTGTTATATGACACATTGTCTAGAAGCGCCATAAATGACTTCGATTAACTCTAAAGCGCAGGGGGGCAATCTCAAAAAAGAAAAATATACAATAAAATAACATAAAAATTACCTTGAAAATAATATTTTAAAAATATTTAGAGAATTTTTAATTTTTTTGGCCCTTCAAAAATAAGTCTACAAAATTAAAATCTATTTTTTTTTTCTTATTTTTTGAAATAATTATATAGTAATTCTCAAGTCCCAATATCCAAAACAGAAAAAGTCCTCCTTTGTAGCGCTTTGCCTGAGTAGGACCAACAATGGGCTGGATGGCCGAGCCCAGCCCGACCTTAAAACACTAGGACCTAGGCCATAAAATGTGGTCGGAGGGTGTCGGGCCACAACCGCCAGTGTTGAGCTGAGCCTAGCCAGGGCTACAATAGAGCCAGCCTAGCCAAACTATTTTTCCCTTATTTTTTAATGTTTCTCTGGATCTATTGAGCTCAACCTGAACCAGACAAGGCATAGGCTGGGGCATATTTGGCCCGGTTCGAGCTTGGGCAGGGATCGGGTTGACCCTATAGGGATCAGGGCCAAAGCTAGCTCGGCCTAAGGCCGGTCCATCGCTAGCTCCATACCTCATGGAGGCTCTGTGCCTGAGGGAG